CGAAGAAACAGGATGCAAAAGAGGCAGGAAGCACGCAATTTCGACAGAGGAGGTCAAAGGCGACTCTCTTAGATCAATTCCAATCATTTCCAGCGATTTTCAAATTTTTCATTTTTGGCCAAATTTACAAAGGCTATAGCCTTTGTATTCTTAACGAAAATTGATGGGTCCGGATTTCGACGGAAAAGTAGTCGATTCGAAGGGGTGGCCCAGGGGACCACAAAACTACTTTCGATTCATTCAAAAACCACCCCTCTGTCCAGAGAAACTTGAGTTTGAAGGGTGGCCTTTTGAATCTGGCGGGCGAGCCGTGAGCAAGTCCTAGAAAAACAGGCGTAACACACTTAAAAAGGCCCGGCGGCGTAAAATTTCGACGCAGAGATTGAAAGAGGATGCTGTCGGGCAAATCCCGACCATTTCCAGCGATTTTCAAATATTTCATTTTTTTCCAAATTTACAAAGGCTATAGCCTTTGTGTTTTTAGCGAAAATTGATGGGTCCAGATTTCGACGGAAAAGTAGTCGATTCGACAGGGGTGACGCAGGGGACCACAAAACTACATTTGGTTCCATAAGAAACCACCCCTTTCCAGAGAAACTTAAGTTTTAAGGGTGGTCTTTTGAATCTGGCGGTCAGCGTACGATGGGCTGCCTACCTCGCAGGCGAACCGGTCCAAAAACAGGCGTACCGCACTTAAAATGGCCCGGCGGCGTGAAACTTCGACGCAGAGATTGAAAGAGGATTCAGTCTGACCAATCCTGACCATTTCCAGCGATTTTCTATTTTTTTTTATTTTTGGCCAAATTTACAAAGTCAAATAGCCTCTCTTCTTTTAGTGGAAATTGATGGGTCCGGATTTAGCCCGGAAAAGTAGTCAAATCGACAGAGGTGACCCAGGGGACCACAAACCTACATTTGGTTCCGTCAGAAACCACCCCTGGCGGGCAGCGTAAGATGGGCTGCCTACCTCGCAGGCGAACCGGTCCAAGAAAAACAGGTGTAACTCACTGAAAATGGACCGGCGGCGTAAAACTTCGACGCAAAGATTGAAAGGACCAATCCTAACCATTTCCAGCGATTTTAAAATTTTTCATTTTTGGGAAAAATTCACAAAGGCATAGGTCCAGTTTTTGATGGAGGAGTACTTGAATAGATAGGGGTGAACCAGGGACCACAAAACTACCTTTGCTTCTGTCAGAAACCACTCCTGTTCACCGAAACTTGAGTTTTAAGAGCTTGTCTCTCTAACTATGGGCGGGTATGCTACCTAAGGGGCACTGGCTAAGAACTCTGCTGTAGTGGGTAGGCACCATGATATTTAAACAGGGCAACTAAAAAGGGAGTTTGCCCAACCAATCCAAACCAATTCCAGCAATTTTCCAAATTGTCAAGATTTTCAAAAGACATTTTCAATGATAACAAATCTGCCTGGATTTTGACAGAGGAGGATTGAAATCGACAACAAAGAACCAAGGCACCACAAAAAACATCAAAAACCACCCTTTGATGCACACGAAAGGAAGCTCCTCCCTCATAGAGTCTGTACAGAGACAAATTGGACTAGAGTTGGTTACTGTCATGTCAACTCACCTATTCTTTTGGGTAAAATGACTCCATAGACTTCTCTTGCTCATGTCAAGAACATTTCTGGGCCGAGTTCCTGCAATCATATTCAACAGGACTTTTAGTCGACGCGTCCTAACAACAATGTTCTATCTACGGAGCGTCGTTTTCAAAATGTCCTATCTACAAAGGGTCGTTTTCACAATGTCCTATCTGCTATGATTTTCTTAAGCAGATAGAACATTGTGAAAACGACTCTTTGTAGATAGGACATTTTGAAAACGACGCTCCGTAGATAGAACATTGTTGCTAGGACGCGTCGTAGTGCTCATCAACTATTAATTACATTTAAATTACTCATACAATACACGTTTAAATGCCTCTCCCCCCATACGTCTCTAAATGTCCATGGTCTTTCAAATTAATAATTTGGCACTGGACTCAAGCATTAAAGTACGAAGGGGCAGCTGCAAATTAGCTGCAACGCACAATGATTGATTGTTTGGGGGATTACGCAAATAGTACTTCAACCAGAAAGTAATAAAGTTTTCTGTTCCACGGGAATAATATAGAGTAAAATATATGACATATGATAAAACACTGACAGTGACCTGCAACAGTATTTAAAATACTGTAAGGAATGGAGAAGTGTACTCATTCAATACCTTTTCAACAAAGCTTACAATGAGCCAAGTTTACATCACGGGCATCATTTACTCGGCCTCCAAAAAATAACTGACAACTTGTGCACTGCACTGGAGCACACTAACCTCTTAAATTACAACAGTAACCGGAATGGAACAATTCAATATTCCGGACCGGAAACAATCAAGCACTATACCTTGCGATTAATATTGAAAAGCGGCGATGTCCACCCTAAAATTCTAATTAAAATCCTATGGCCAATTAAATGAGTAGGTATTATCGGTATTGAGCAGAAGACGCCGATAGTGACACCGATTTTTATTGTTTGTTTACGTTTCCATAAAGGCGCGGCAAATGCGGGGTGGGGAGGAGGAGAGGGGGAGGGGACGCGGCACGGCAAAGGGGGAGAGCACTCGCGTGATGTACCGAGAGTACAGTGTCGCGCGCAACACACTCGCGCGGGTGCGAATTGATGGCGAATAAATGTTAAACACCTTAAACTATGCACAACCAACTGGTGGAAATGATTACTGGAGTATGTACACTTGGAAGAGTCACTACCACTGAATGTTTCTTGTAATAACGCAGGCCTCTTAACTCAACTAAATCAGGCAGCCGCCGAAATTCAAGACATTAATTTCGGTGAAGCGCTAGTAGTGTAAGTGAACCAGGCCCAATCTAGTCCCAGATTTTCAGGAATATTCTAAGAAAATGAGGGAAAATCCCATATTTTTTGAGGAGACTTCCTCAAAATCTGAGGAGTTTTTGTCAAAGTAGGCGACTTCTTCAAAGTTTTCCCTTATTTTCCCTCAAAAAATTAGCCATTGTTTTTACCGTGTAGTGTCATGGTACTGTTTGATTTGAAGAACGTTGCGTGCGGCACTTGTTCTAAAGCTTTCCCAATACATCATCCCCCCTTCCCTACCAAGCTCCTTATCCCGTTCAGACTTACAAACACCATATTGACACTCGGCCCACTTTCGCTTTGAGGCCCAGCATTCATTCGGATCCAGTATTTGACTCAACTCTGCTCCGGGGCGTTAGATTAGGCGAATGGAACCTCGGCGGAACATCCGGCCAGGGAGCGGAAGTGCCCCCGCCCCCCCTCTCCCCTTTCTCATCAGAGTGGGCCAACCGCGGGATGGTAAGGGAGGGCGTGGAAAGGGGGTGGGGAAAAATCGAATGGGAAATCGACGGTCCCCGGTCGGTCGTTGCGACAGGAAATCAGTCGTGGCGGGTGGCTTCCAGGAGGCTCCCGCGGGACCTGCAAATCACCCCTGAAGTGGACAATTAAAGGGTCCTGAGAGAAGCTCATCCCGGTGACGACAGTCCTTTTCCAAATCATTTCAAGTCGCGCGAAGGAAGGGTG